TAATAAATTGACTCAAAAGGGACAATTTGGAATTGTTCAATCTTCCCGGATCTTTTGTGGGATAATCTAATTTTATGACAACAACTGTTTGTGTGTCATTTTCTGCATTTTTTGGAAACTCAGGAAACTGCCACGCTGACCAAAACATCAAAAGAGAAAGTGAAAGTCGCACCACTATGCCAAGGCAGAGATCTTTACAGTGAAAGCAAGTGCTGGTAGCTGGGGTCCTGCCAGCAGCTCTCCCTCCGGGGCCTTGCCAGCTCGGAAAGGGCAGCCCAAGCTATTCTTTTCAAGACCCCGCCATGGCATTGGTTTGTAACATGTAAAGATACTGTACAATATCAGATACAAATTACATTTTCTTCCTATACTGCTGTGAACATGAATTACTATATCAACAAAATAATACTTTAAAGATTCTAAAAATACTATCTAAATTGGTCCCTGGTCTGTGGTTGCTCTAGGTACTTAGCAGAAACAAACCCTGGGACCCATGAAGGACTAAACCTTCAGGGAAAATGCAGGAAGATGAGCAGATAATGCACAACATGTTTCAAGAAAAGCATGAGACAAATCTATCTTCTGCAAATAGCTGAGGTTGGGCTGTAGCTCATACCACGTTTTATCACTGGAACATGTATGCATATGTATTATAGCATTGTTTTCATTTGGGTAATGAATCTGCGTAAAACACTTCATTTCATATTGTTGAATGTGAAAATTCTGATACTGAGATTTGGGGTTCCAAGAAATACCTGTATATCAAACAATTTTGTGCACACAGACATACAGTGAAATACTTTAACATCTGAGCAAGCTTTGTTCTGTGTTTTTTTAATTTATATTGAAATTACACAAAATAATATTTATACTATATAGGTAAGGTATAAAGAAAACAGTAAGCTATAAAGAATAACAGTGAGACAAACAACCATGAAGCCATCACCCATCTTAAGAAACAGGATTTTACCAATATCTTAGAAGCTTCATCTGTGTCCTTCTCTCCTCTGCTTAGAGGTAAACATCCATTTCAAATTTTGTGTAGTCAGTTGACCATTTCCTTGATTTTCTTTGTATTGTTTTTTTAGCCATGTTTTCAAAAGCCCATGATTTGCAATGTCTGGTATTTCATGCAATGGATTATACTGTATTAAGGGATTTCAGGGGCTAAAGGGGTTCTGTAGTGCATTTCTCTGCTTCTCACATGTGAAACCAGGACAGTGTAATCACAGATGAGAAACTGCTCTATTTTAAAAAGCATTTTAATATTTTCCTCTTCTAATAAGGAATCTGTCCTTAAAGCTTACTAGTACCTTCGTGCTTGTCTCTCCTGCTGCCTTTTGCCAAGATAAGAAAAATATCTGCTTAGAAAATCTTATGGAAAAGTAGCATTTGTGATGTGACCCTAAAATTTATACTGACTGTTAGAAATGCAAGGCTTCGTGTTACTTGTACTCCCATTCTATCCTGGGTGAGGAAATTGGCTTGCTACAGATAAGACGAACTCCTGTGAAATAACTCCTTTGAAATAATTCCCAAAGAAACATTGGCTCACTACTTTATTACAATACATCTCCATTTTTTAAAGGATGGCAGTTAAGGTAACAGATGGAGAAAGTTTTAGGCCTGACAGTTATAAATAGTCCTACAGTTTATTCCATGATATATTTGCAATTCTTTTTCTTTGCCATTCTGAAAGTTGGATCTCAATCAAAATACTTTTCTCTTTACCAAGGAGTGCAAATTATTGCCAATAAATTAGAACTCTAAAATAATGGAGAAAAGTGAGGATATTTGGCCCTGCTGAAAGTTTTGCCTACATTCTAGAGTATTGTCATCACTATCACCTAATCTTTAGAGGAACTTCTTCTCCAGGGATCATATAGTGTGCGGAAACCCTTTGAATAAATCAACAGTTCTAAGGATTGTCCTCGTTTCTTATAATCAAAGTAACACTTGCCTAAAGACCACTCCATTGCCAAGCACTAGAGGAGACAAAGGGACAAGTATGTCTGTCTTTAAAAGGACAGTCATGGACAAAGCACTAAAGATACTAAAGCTAAATAGCAACAGAAAACAGTGGAATATAAAATGTCATAAGACATTATAATGATGGTAATAAATTAGAAATATCATTTGGTTCTTCTGAGTGTCTTTGCTATAATACTGAAAATTACATCTAACAGAACATCAAAAGTATTCTGAATATTCACATGCTATGTACAGGATAAATACATTCTTCTTCTTAAAGAACTTGAAATTTAAGGTAGAAATTAGTAAGGAAAACCATCAAAGTATCAAGGATTTTCAGCAGTGGTGATCTCTTCACTGTTGGGGAGGATGAGAAGAGACAGGAATCCTTAAACACCATTGGTTTTTGTATGCCATTACTACAGCCATTCTGGAGTGCAATATGGCAATAGTTATCGAAATGTCAAATGTTCATCCCTTTGTTCTGGAAATTCTACTTCCAACAATGGTGGGCTGTGTGATTTGGATCAACTTTCTCTCTTAGAACAACTAGAAAAGCAGGGTAAAATATTTTTTAAAATCTGTTTTGAAGGCAAAAGAGAGCTATCAGGACAGGAAGGAATTGTAGGTCCAAGATCCTTGAGAAGAAAACGACCAAGACCATTAGTCATTGGGGCCACTTTATCCTTAAAGACACTGCCTTTTTGGTAGAAACTGCAGAGAAGCTGAAAAGATAAGTAGGGTTAGGGAAGAAAACATAGGTGTTCAAATCTTTTTTTTTTTTTTTATCTAGGAGAATAAATTTATTTTTATTTTTATTTTTTTTAATTTAAAGTCAATTGATAAGGAACAAATTTAGCACACAAAGATTGACATCCTGAATGCATAAAGAAATCTTAAAAATGAATTCAACAAATCTTAACAGAAATCTGGTGAAGGACATGAGCAGACAAGTCACACACTCCAAAGAAACACACATGTCTAATAAATACACCCTGAGATGTTCTTGCTGGTGGGGACTGGTCTCAGGACCCCGGGCATGCTCTGTTGTTTGCCTGGATGCAGGCAGGGGCACTACAAATCTTTCCGTGAACTTTTTGAAGACCTCTTAGATAGGTAGGTCAATAGGTAGGTGGGTAGGTAGGTAGGTAAGTAGATAGATAGATAGAGCAGAAAAAGTGGAGCAGAAGCAGTATTTTAAGAGATAATGACTGAAAATTTTCCAAAACTGTTGAAAGATGTTATCCACATATTTAAGAAGTGCCACAAATCCCAAGGAGGATACATGCAACCACACCTGATAACATCTTGGTAAAACTGCCGAAAACCAAAGACAAAAATCAGTCAGAAGACAAGACATATTACTTCAAATAGCAATAATACTACAAGCTGACTTCTCAACAAAAACAGAGGAATGATATATCTTCAAAATGCTTGAAGAAAATATAGGAAAACTGTTCACAGATGCAAGTTTGAGGATAGCAATTACACTGTAAATTGTTGTAGGGAGAAGTTGTAAACCACTTAAATGTCCAATAAGAGGTTTAAAAATATTTACCTCCTTAAAATCAACTATACAGCCATTAAAACGAATAAGGAAGATCTTTAGGTACTACATTAAAATGTACTAAACATATTAAGTGAAAAAAGCAGAATACAAAATAATATATAGTATATGCTCTTATTTACATTAACAGTATTTTGATATAATTAAGTATAGACAGGCACCAAAATGTTAACAGTAGTTATCTTTGGATGGTAGAATTATGAGAGAATTTTCACATTCTGTCTAATTTTTAAAATAATTATCATATATTATCAAATGAAGATATTTCCATTTGAAAAAGGGAACAAAACTAGTTAGTACTTTGAAGGTTATGTGCTCTCTATTGACCCTGGGTCCATTGTGGCTATGTTATAATGGATACTGTTAAGTGCATTCCATTACCTCTATATGGAAGAAACTCTGCAAAGTAAGGGTCAGGTAAAACCCCCAGACTTGGATCCCTAATACTGTGGATCTTCCTAAATCTAGGGACGATCAATGTGAGCAATGTCCCTTGGGATTCCATGGTGGCTCTCATTTTATGAAAAGCATCGATCAGCGGTCACCCTTCTCTGATTTAGAGAAATTACTTTCTTTTATAAGAAACTTCAGAGTAATGTTAAGAATTGGGTTAAATTGTTAAATTTTTTTTCTGTTAAAATGTCAGTCTAAATTGCAATATAGGTGTATTTGTTCATCTTTGTGCTGCTATAACAGAATACCTGGAACTGCGTAATTAATGAAGAAAAGAGGCTCAGGATTCTGGGACACGATTCTGGGACAGCTGCATCTGGTGTGGGCCTCAGGCTGCTTCTACTCATGGTGGAAAGCAGCAAACAGCCAGTGGGTACAAGCAGAGCATGTGGCTAGAGGAAGCAAGAGAGAGAGAGAGAGGAGGTGCCAGGGTCTTTTAAACAACCAGCTCTTGTGGGAACTAATAGAGCAAGAACTCACTCACTACCCACACCCCAGGGAGAGCATTAATCCATTCATGAGGGATCCACCCCATGACCCAAACAGCTCCCAGCACTGCCACCTTGGGGATCAGATTTTGACATGAGTTTTGGGGGGGGACAACACATCCAAATTCTATCAATAGTCTATCCCTAAAGGTAAACTAGCAGTACTCCTGTTCCCTAAATATAAGGTAAATTTTCAGCATTGGTTAAATTGCAGCTCCCTCAGTGCAGTGCAGGGCGTTGTTTAATAATCTTGATTGTTTACATTGGAGACAAGTTATGGGTAGTTTGGGTAAGAAAGCATCACTTGGGGTAATAAAGTCTGAATTGTTTTCATAGGCCGAGAGATCCGTCTGCCCCTCCGAATCAAAGGGGAAGGGATGGGACCCAAGATTCATTTCAACTTCGAAATGCTGGATATTGGGAAAGTTTTTGTTGGATCTGTACATTGTTATGAGGTAAGCACTAGAATTGTTCATTAAGATGTCAAACAGTACGTGGCTTTGTTCACTGGTTTTATTTTATGTGTGTTTCTATTTGACAGTAATTTTTTACGATCACATACATTTGCCATCACTCATCCTTATTCAGACCCCAGAGTCCTCTGCCTTGTCCTCCTGTCTCCTAGCCGTGCTGAGGGGAAGAGCTTTTCCCCTCTTCATCAACCCCTTCTAACTTTACTAAAAGCTAAAAAACATCAAAGCCATAATTTAATTGGTTTTATCCTCATCATATTGTAGACTGCAAAGGGGAAAACCATAAATATATTTCTCCATCTGTTTAGTACTTGTTCTCTGACAACATAAATTCTACAGATCAGAGGATAGAGAACCTTTCACATTTTCTAGAATGTCCTAATGAGCATAGCCGTTTTCACACTTTCGAATTTTCTCTGAATGTGCTAGTCTGCAATCCATGTTTTAAAAACCAATCATCATGGTTTTTGGAAGAGACCTCCCTGTTTTGTCTTTCCAATTAAATAGAAAATGCAATTTTACAAGATGTGTTCATGGGTTCTTCAGGACCAAAGTTACTTCAATGTCATCTCATCACTAAATTTGTAACTGGGGCATATTTTTACACTATATCAAACTGTAACCATTGAAATTTTGTTTTAGAAAGGTTTCTAAATTGTGTATATTTATATTTTTATAAAGGCAATACAAGCAATTTTTTAATGAGTGACAAATAGGTTTCAGGTTCCATGCTCCACTGTGTGTGCATGACTCTGTGTGTTTGTGCACACATGTGTAATTTCTAATCCTTACAAAAATGTGAAAGGTAGGTTATATTATACATATTATTCAAATGAGAAATATGAGGCATGTAGTGATTAATACCATCAACAGCATCGCCCTTCATGTGTGTTAAGCTAGTGCTCTTGCTTTGACATGCATTAGTGCCCTTTGTCCTCACAAAAACTCTGCAGTGTAGATACAATTACTGTTCCCATTTAATAGCTGGGTAAGCTGAGGCTTAGAGAAGTTTCACTAGCTAAGGTAATGATTGATACTGTAACAAATACAAAAATATGTAATATCTCAAACATGATCTAAGTTCCTTTTGTTACTTACATAATGTCCAAAACAAAGGCTCCTAATCAGCCGATGCTCTCCTCCAGCAGATTATCTGGAACTCAGGCTCCCTCCATCTTCTGCTCAGCCATCTCTACCATGTGGCCTGAAAGATTGTGGTCTCACCTGTATCCCTCTGGCAGAAGGGGAAAGAGCATGAAGGAGTGTACATGAGATTTTTATAGGAAGTGGCACTGGAGGTGGCACATTTCACTTTCATTCACATCACTAGCTGCAACTGTAACTGCAACAGAGGCGGGACATGTGGTCTAGCTGTAAGTGCAGAAGAGGAAATGGGTTTAGGGAACCGCAAACCTGACTTCCAAAGGAGTTAAGTAACTTGGCAAGGTCATACGGCTTGTAAGTGTTAGTGAGTGCTGGGTTATTAAGGTCCTCTATCTTGTCCTGGGAAGAGAAAACCCTTTGCAGGCCTTTCAGCCTTTGGGAGTTCAGTCTCCCGCTCTGTCACCTCAGGCAAATCCAGCTTACAGCCAACTCAGCTCAAGCCCAGCCTAACCTGGGAGGGGACAATGCTGGGCATCCCGCTTTCCACGAGGGTAACTGTAGCCTAAATGGGATGATGCGAGAGGTAAACAGAGATGTTAATGTCATGACGAGATGGAATATACACAGGAACATAATTTAAATGGAAAAATTGGTCGCATAACTGTCCTAAAATGAAAAGTGGCACAGCTATATGCTGCATTGTTCTATATCACATTAGAGAGAAGGGTCACTTACGGAGAGAGGGAAAAAGTACAATAGTTCTTATTAAATTGATATTCTGTCTGCAGTTTAGCCAGTGTGAATTTCCCTTACATCTTACCTTATGGATGCCGCATCAGAAAAGAACCTTTAGTTCTGATGCAAACTGGATAGGGTTTCCCCGAGTATAAATGTAATAGAAGTGTACTTCAGGCCACCATTTCCAGATTTTAACAGTATAGCAAACCACAGCCAGCTAAATAAGTGTTAAACAAGGTGATGCATCATATTAGACAGTTCTGATTACTGTGCAGAGGCAGAGAAGGACATGGTCAGGTGCTTCTTATGGGAATATTCTGCACTCTCTGCGTATTTAATGCTAATGCCTCATTGCCTCTCCTACAATTTATTACATTACCTACTTGAGACAAATTTGAATAACTAGCTATTGTCCCGAGTCATTGCTGAGCTTAGCAGATACATAAAGAATAAGCTATAACCCCCTGCGTATACACTATCCTCCAGCGTAATTAAGAAGGAAAACAAACGACAGGGGAGGTTCTATTATAAATTTTCTCCTCTCCAAGGAGTTGGACTGCAAGGTTAAGAGTATTACCAGTAATCAAAAGGCCTCGGAATTATGTCCTAAACTATTTGCTGGATTCTGTATTCATAAGTAGGTGCCTCTTTGTCAGAGACAGAAGAACAGCATGCACATTCTTGAAAATGGAGGAACTGTCACCGTACAGAAAATCTGGGTAAAACATTCCTGTTAACAGAAAACACAAACACACGAAAAGGCAATCCATGCATCTTCTCAAAGAGAAGAACAAGGGTCCTGCAAGTTACCACTAAAACCTTCGCATTGCCTTCAAGTTACCACTAGTATATATCAGTCACTTCTTAAGCAGAGGGAAATTCTAAACCCATTCTGCTTCGCACTGGGGATATAAATATCACTTTCATTTATAAGCACTATTTGCCAGTCACTATTCTAAAAATTACATAAAGTAATAAATTTAATCTTATAGCAATATGAGAAGTTAATAGTACTCACATTTTACAGATGGGGAAACTGAGGCACAGAGAAGCTAAGTAGATTGTTCAAGGTTATACAGCTAGTAAGTCAAAGGCAAAACCGAGTTTGAACCCTGGCAGTTTGGCTCCAGGGTCCCTGGCCTTAACCACTTTTCTACACGGTCTCTTTAAAAGGAATTAAGGGCAAGATGGGAAATAAACATAAAAAGAGAATAAAATAGCAAGCTGCAATTATTTATGTACACATTTTGGTGCATTGGCCATCTTCTCTTGGCAGCAGTGGTCGTCCTGCTCTGCAGAGGCTGCTGACACTTTCTCTCCTACATGTGCTCCTGGTGCTCTCTTCCCTGATTCTGCAGAGGAAACCTGAGCCCACGAACTCATCCTTCCCTGCAGCCACCCAGACCCATTCCCTTGGTTGCCCAGCCTCTTTCTCTTATGACCACAACAGGCAGCACTCTGGTGAGCACTTCCTCCAGGCTGGGCACTGAGTATGCATTATCTCATTAATAAGGAGTCTCCTCTAAAGTACCTTCCCATGGCTTTGCCACGTTCTTTCTTACTTTTCACCATGAATCTTCTCAAAACAGGAATCTAAAATAGTCAACCACTATTTCCTTGCGCTTGTTCTCTCCCTTAACATTTGTCTTCTGGATTCTGCAATCATACCCCCTTTATTTACTCTCTTCTTTAAGGTCAGGGATGACCTCTAATTTTTTTTAAAAAATGAAAGAAAAAAAAATCTCTTACCTTTTCTTAGAGCTTATTCTCCTGACCTCTGTCCACATTTGATCTGTTTGGGAATCCTCCCCCCTCAGTTTCCAGATCCTGACATGCTTCACTTTTTCCTGCTAACTTTGTAAACGTTTCTTCACCATCTCCCATGCTCTTTGTCCTCCAGTGCCTTAAGTGTAGGTTGAGGGCAGGTCCTATATAAATCAAAAGAATATGTTGTTCACCCTTCTAGGCGTAAGGATGGCCCTGGCGATAGAGGTGGTGTCTTTGGAGGCCAGGAATATGACAGTGTGGCTGTAGTGCAGGTTCCTATACAGGAACTGTAGGAGGTGGGGGTGGAAAGGGTAGACTGAGGCCAGCTGTGGAGGACTGTGAAAGCCAGGCCGGACTGCTGCACACACACACACGAAACCTAGTGTGCAATCAAATATGGGCAATAACATGGTTCCAGAACATGGGAATATAGGAATAAAACTTTCCAGGGGTAAAACAATTGCTTGCATAAGAATTCCAGAAGAACCATTTATCCAATAGAGATTGAGATGAAAATATCCTTGTAGGATCCAAACTAATAGCACAATAAAGGGAATCCTTGTCATCTGGAATCCACAATGACATCTCATTTACATTCTTCAAGCTACATTTTAAGCACAGGCTTAGGTAGATCTTGATCTTCTATTATGACTTGCTTTTTATTTTTTAGTACGCCACTTAACCTCAGCCTTCTAATGCATGTAAGAGAAACACCTACCTTTCCTTGGTTACTGTATAGAGAGTATTAAAAAAAAGGTATTAAACGAATAGATGTGATTATGATCAGTATTTATAGCATAATATAATACACATGACTAACTTCATTTTAAGGAGGAGACTAAAAAAAATAATTATTTTCTGGCTTGGGGGTCCTACCTTCAAACATTTTAAGACATCAGACTGTTTATTTCTTCCTGAGAGTTTTTCTTTGGTTCTAACTTCTGCACCTTTCTTGGTGTTGTTATTAAACAATATAGCCACATGTTTATATGGAAATAGATCAGAGGTGCATTGACCTTTTCATTCTTGCCTGTGATTGATCTAGGCGATCCTATCCAACAAAGGCAGCATTGATGCCCTCTTCAACGTGATCCCTCCAAATTCTGCTCTGGGAGCCTGTTTTGTGTTCAGTCCCAAGGAAGGCATCATTGAACCAAGCGGAGTCCAAGCTGTCCAGATCTCCTTCAGTTCTGCCATCCTTGGGCACTTCGAAGAAGAGTTCCTGGTCAGTGTTAATGGGTCACCTGAGCCTGTGAAATTGACCATTAGGTAAGGTACATTTATAACTAATGTACAAACTAACTGAAGTTTTTACCTACTGCTCTTTTGAACTTCAAAACTAGATAATGTCTTGGAGGTTCATAACTGTCTGTTGATGTGAACACATCAGCATAATAGGGTGTGTTGAATTTCCGCCAGTGTTTCCCTAGTGAATGTGTATAACATGATTGTAATAAGGATACAGATGCTATTTCAGAATCTTGTTTTTCTGTAAGTTATAACCTTATAAGGATTTAAACATTAAACTAGTTTCTACTTACTGTCTATATTTTAGGATGTTTAGAGAAAACAAGTTATTGCAGTAACACCTGAATAAAATCATCTTGACTAAGTTTTTGCTGTTCTCACAGTTTCTCTGAACCTTCATCTTTCATTTTTATTTTTATTTTTTTATTTTTTTATTTTTTTTTTTTTGTCTTTTGTCCTTTTTCCGTGTCCAGCAACGGATCGCAACCCTCAGTGTTGCCCCCGCACCGGACCGGGGACCGGCAACAGGATCGCAAGCCTCAGCGTTGCTCCCGTGCCTCGCTCAGCCAGCGAGCGGGAGCCGGTCTGTATGTGGGATCTGAACCCTCGGACGGGAGCGCCGCCGCGCTTCCCAAGCGGCGCACTATCCAGTGCGCCACCGGGCCGGCCCTTTCATTTTTATTTTAAGAAAATTCTTTAAATTATCTCACCTATAATGCCTCCAGGCATTGTGAAAAAATGTCTACTTACAGTGTCAGTCAGCCAAGGCTAGATACTTGCAGGTTTTATGCTAGAAGCCTTTTGATGGCTTCTCCAGCTGCTTGTGAAAACTGAAAATCATTAGTAGCAGAGTTTGTCTCGGGTTTTGAAAAGATATTCTCTGTTACCAACCCACTGGGCAGATCTACAACTTCGATTCCCGGTGTTTAGAAAGGTCATATCTTCAGAACGCATTGCTCTGACTCTGTTTGGAGTCCCACAGCAACAGGTTATTAACAACCATGGCAATCTCTCTTAATTACGGTTACTGCTAGCAGGACTTCCCTCCATCGACAAGCTGAGGTCTCCCTGGGAGCCTGAAGGTAACATAGAAAAGAGACAGACTCATATGGCCTTGAAGGATCCTAGGAAAATTTATTGATTTTGTGATATCTACTGGAAATTCAGAATCTTGCTCAAAGATTTGCTCAAAGGTGATTACCATTTGATCTCAAACTCTTCCACCTGAGTACCCCTGGGCTGAATTGTGCCCCCTCAAAATTAGTATGTTGAAGTTCTAACACCCACTACAACAGAACATGACTGTTTTTGGAGAAGGGACCTTCCAAGAAGTAATTCAGGTAAAATGAGGCCATATGGAGAGCTCTAATCAAATATGATTAGTATCCTTATAAGAAAAGGAGATCAGGACACAGATACACACAGAGAAAAAGACCATTTGAAGACATAAAAAGAAGATATCCACAAGCTCAGGAAAGAAGTCCTCAGGAAAAAATAACCCAGTACTAACCCTCTGACAATGACAGAAATAAATTTCTGTTGTTTAAGCCACCTAGTCTGTGGTACTTTGTTATGGCAGCCCTAGCAAACAGATACAACCCCTAACAACTAAGGAGAGTGAATACATGTGCCTCCAAGGTTCTGTGTCATGACATTTACACTCTCTTCTATAATTACATCTGTGTTTGTTATAATAGAAAAAATTGAATTGTATTCCAAATATTTGAATAACATTAACTCTTCAAGAAGATGCATTGTACTTACGCCGGCCCATGGTTAATATCGTTCAGGTATGTGCACAATATGAGTAGGATGGGAGTACACTTTCACATCATATGAACTTCAGCCCACTTCCCACCTCCATAACAACTCACATCTCATGACAAGCCTTGGAGGTGGTTATCTGGAGAAGCAGGAAGAGCAGACTTGCAAATGTGACCTCCATCTCCCACTTACAGAGTATGTGGTATCTTGAGGGCCCTTGACAAACTTCAGCAGATCAACTCTTGAAAGCTTTTGAATCAAGGCTTTCTGACTTCTGGACATCGGGAAGTATTGGTCAGAATCATGAGTACCCTCCACCACATCCAGCCTCATAAATAAGACTCCATACAAAAATGGGGAAGATAAAACCTTAAATCTATGCTCTTATAAACATTTAAAATAAAAGGAATAATGACCCTATCTGTAGGTAAGAAAGTACAGGATGTTAAAGCACCACAATTTTACTTTTCAGGTAGACCAAAGAAAGGGGAAATGTTGTCCAAGACAGGCTAATTGTCCCTCATATTGAATAAGAGAACCCATCCTAATTTCACCTGGCTATTTCCTGTTTTCAGACCTAATAATTAATACTGCATCTCACTATCAGCACACATATGTGGCTACTCTTTTTAGGAATAAATATGTATTTTGGATATTCATTTAATAAGCTCCTTTTGAGAACCTCCTACATGCAAGGTTGTATATAAGGTGCAATAACTTGTGAATTTGAGTTTATCAGATGTTTCTCTCACATGAATCCTACTGCCTAACTTTTGACTCTTTGAATTATTTATCCAAATTCAGGGTATAATTGTGCATTCTCTAAACTATTCCCTAAACTAGCTAAAAAATTCAGTGAAAGAAACAACATGGGAATTAAAAGGGTACACAAGAAGATATCCATTTAACACAAAGGAAAGCAGTGGAAGAATACAGGAACAAAAAAGGCATAAGACATGCGAAAAACAAATAGCAAAATGGAAGACATAAATCCTACCTTATCAGTATTACATTAAATGTAAGTATATTAAGAACTCCAATCAAAAGGCAGATGTTAGCAGAATGGATTAAAACAAAACAACCACAATCCAACTATATGCTTTCTACAAGAAATAAGTTAAAGATGGGAATAGGTTGAAACTCAAAGGATGAAAAATATATACCATGCAAACAGTGACCAAAAGAAAGATGGAGTGGCTTATATTAATATCAGACAAAATATAATTCAAAATAAAAATTGTTGGGGCCGGCCCGGTGGCGCACTGGATAGTGCGCCGCTTGGGAAGCGCGGTGGCGCTCCTGCTCGAGGGTTCGGATCCCACATACAGACCGGTTCCCGCTCACTGGCTGAGCGAGGCATGGGGGCGACGCTGAGGGTTGCAATCCCGTTGCCGGTCCCCGGCCCGGTGCGGGGGCAACACTGAGGGTTGCGATCCGTTGCCGGACACGGAAAAAAGACAAAAAAATAAAAAAATAAAAAAAT